AGAAGTTCATCTGTGAAATGTCTTCAAAGAAAAACCAGAAACTCCAGTTGCTTCTTGAAAAAGCACCTTTGGGACAACCATGACCTAGATGACTGAGAATCTCCATAGACATTTATTCCTGACCCAATCCACAGATATTGTTATGCCAAAAACTATAATTTATAAGCCAGAATGTTTGGGGTCTGACAACTCACCAAGCTAAAAACCAAACAAACTTAGCAATGAGGGAATCTCAAACTTTGCCATAGTGTGTTCCTCTGAAATCATAAATCAGTTGTTTTTAACAAGTTATGTCTGACCCTTCCTCCCCCAAAGAACCTGGCCATGTTTCAAAAAGTTCTGAAATCCTGGCTCTTCCCCAGGCCCCACATTAGACTAGACCTCCCAGTTTATTGTCTGTTAATCCCTGCTTTTTTTCAGGGCTTTGTGTGAGGATTTTGTTCTTATTGTGTGTCTGATTTGTACAACTGTTTTTACTGTATGCCACCCAGAATGCTTATAGACTATACAGTCCATTACTAAAATTAAAAAATTAAGAAATAAAATGCATTTCCTGAAGCAAATAATTTGTTTGTTTGTTTTTAAAAAATAATACCAATCACCTACTTTTAATAATTATATTTTAAATTGTATAACAAATGAAGCAGTTATAGAATCTTTGCACAACTTTTTTCCAGATGATTTTGTTGCCTTCACATTCCCAGCAGTACTTTGATAAAACCACAGTGAGTTGTTCTCCAGTAATAGAAAAAAAATACTGTGGAAACTAAAGATATCTAACTTTCATGATACTTTCTTGATTCAAGCTAACTTTTATTAACACAAAAGCTTTTTACTTACTAGCTAATAAAAACATTTCCATTATGAAAGATAGGTGTCTAAAATAATTACTGAACTTCGCTAGCACATAACTACAAGCCAAGCCATCAGTGATAAAGAGAAGTATTTCCAAAAATGAGAAATTGGTAGTCAGTACCTTGTAACTATTTCCCAGTGATCAACAATTCATTATGCAATGCAGAAATGAGAAATTCTGCAATTTGTGTTAGAAATTTCAATTTTAAATTTTGTAAACCAAATGACACAACTGAATTGACATTTTTGATAAAACAAGTAATTTTTAAACAAATTTATTTCTTTTTGCATAAAAATACCATGCAAAAAAAATCAAATATAATTTCAAAATAGTATCCTATAACAAAAGAATACAGTATTACTGCCATTCATAGTGTAGGAGAAGGAATCATAGAATCTGGGGGCGGAGTTAAAAGAGGGATTAGCCTAATTTCCTAAGTAGCCACCAGCAGACTAAATCCAACCTCCCTTGAATTCCGCTGACTTTTTTTCAACTTCATAGAGGTGCCAAGCTTTAGTTGAGGAGATTCCTGTGCTTAAGCTTTTTAGCAATAAATCAGTTTCATTGGATGTTGGTCTTTCTCACCTGACACATAAGAACCAATCTCTAATAAGAAATGGGAGTAAGAAGAAAAATAAACTTGACCCAGAATATGAGAATTCTTGGTTTAGCATCTATACACTCAACTAAAAAACTAAGGTCATCCAAATGGATTTATTTAAAATAAGAATTACTTTTAAAATATTTTCTACTTTCTCCTATTTGGGCTCCAGAGATAGAGAGCCTTAATATACATTGATTACTACAGGTAGTCCTTGAGTTACAAATATAATGGAGCCTGCCCTTTCCATTCGTAACCCAAGGATTTGTGGAAGTGAATCTTGTACCTTGAATGCAATCATTCCCTCCTTTCACCCACATATTGCTAATCGAATGTACGGCTTGTTAAGTGCACATGGGAATTTCAGGGTGGGGCAGGCCATGTGGGGAGGGGCAGTGATAGAACAGGCCACCTGCTGGAAAAGGCCTCCCCACCCTACTGAAATACCTCATGCTCCCCACAATTGCTTCCCCCTCCCCAACCTGCTGTCCCAGGTCACTTACCATGCGAAGATCTAGCAAGTAGTCCCCCCTCCAGCCTCTCAGCTGCATATCACCTTCTGCAGCTCCATTTTGGCCTGCGCAGGCCTAAGTACAGCTCTGTTTTGGCTGGCGAATTGCCAGGCGATGCTTGCACAGGCCTAAATGGAGCGTCGGAGGGGCGGGCGCGCCCCTCCGAACCTCCACTTTGGCCAGCAAAGTGCAGGACGAATGTCACAGGGACTCTGTGGTTGTTTGTAAGGGTGAACAACTGCTGTGGTGCTGCAAGATTCGTAGTTTCGAGACTTGTTCGTAAACACTAGGGGCACTGATTGCGTAACTTTGAACATTCGCTAAGGGAACACTTGTAACCCGGAGATTCTCTGCATTCAAATTCTTTTATCTTCTCCAAACTAAACATAAGATGACAATATTTATACCACATACAGAGGCATCATTGTTTTTCCATATAAAAGGAGAAACAAAGATGTTTTATGACATTAAGACTGCTCCAGGAATGGCTGTGTCTATCGTCCCATTGCTACCCAAAGAATTAAAGGTGACTGCAGTATCTAGAGACCAAAATACACAGACAAATTAAATACGGTGAACTCAAGGGAAAATTTCTCTCTTTTCTGATACCTGACGTATGACTGACAACTTTGCTATGTAAGCACCATTTTCCCATTGTCCAAAAGGTTGGTAGGGCGTGTGGTTTTTTTCCTACTTCCACAAACCCAGGCAAGAAACTTAATTTATGAGGGAAGCACTTCTGAAGAATTCAATAGGACTTGCTCTTTCATATCTCTCTTAAGTGACATTATAGTTTTATTGTTCATAGATTTGTTTTAGGAATTAGTGCTGAAGGCAACTTTCTTATCTTCCTTTATCTATTGTACTTCAATCAAAGGGTATAGGAGTGTTAACACTACGCATATCATGAGGTTGGGGGTTGAATTTAACTGCAGGCCATTGCTTGGGATATGCTTCTGGCCAGATATGGTTAGAAGTCTATCTGCAGCTCCATTTGGGGGTTAGGGTTGGGGGGGAGGCTGTGGATATTCCCTCCTTCCTTTTTCTACTGAATTCTCTCTAACAATTCCCCAGTTCCCTGTATTTCTGCTGAAATGGTTACACCAGGAAGCAAATGCTGCACAAAAATAAAATAAAATCTGAACCTGCCCCACAAGATGTTGTGCAAACAAATGTGGTAGAATTTGATCCAGAGGTTATCGATATGGGGAAAGGGCACCAGCAGATCAAGGAGGCCTGTAACTCAATCTCAGAGCCTGGCAACCTGCCAAATTGGTGAGAGTTATATCAGGGGCGCGCCCTTTCTCTGTAGGTATAACTTCAGAAAAATGAACACGATCAAGACAAGACACAAATGTTTCCACACCACCCTTTTTGCTGTCTTCAACCCGAAATGAACAAAGTTGCACTGCAGATAAGGAGCAGGTTCACATTTTTCAAACATCCTCATAACTGAACCTAAACAGCCAGAACTAAGTCCAGTGCTTCACCACATCAGGAACTTCCCGTTTGGAACCTAGCTTTTAAAACAATATGGGAATTTTGGAAGTTATGGTTCTATCATGGTAGATTGACTAGGGTGAGCCGGGAAGGAAGGATCCAGCAGGTCATGACTCACGAGTCCACATGAGATTCGCACCCACATGAGATTTAAGTCCAGCCCACCTTGAATTTCATTAACTCTTATCTACCGCCAATTTGCTCTGACTGCTAGTAGTTCAGATTTTTGTAGAGTGTTAGCATGCCATATATCTGTATTCATTTCCATTGCCTTGACTATTATATTAGAACTGGGGGAAACCAGAAGTGGGAAAGGCTGCTGTATAGGAATGGGGTTGCAGATGTTGTCAGGACATGTTTTTTGCTGATGCAGAAAGTGTAACAACACTCATCTGGTCCCCCATTTCTAGTCTAATGCTTTTTCTCCAAGCTAAATATGACAGTATTTATATCATACTCACATTGTTTTTCCATATACAGTAGAGAAATTAATGAAATTTAATGAAATTAAAAATGCTCTGGGTGATGGCTCTGGTCTTCGGGCCGTTATACAGGTAGTCCTTGTTTAGTGACCACAACTGGGACCAGCAACTGGATCATTAAGTGAAGTGATTGCTAAGTGAAATTGTGACTGTGCTTACAATCTTATCTCAGCTTTCCTTTGCTTACAGACCTGCAAAGGTTGTAAATGTGAGGATTGGTATGTGATATGTGAGGATAAAAAATTACTTTTTCATCATTGTTGTAACTGTGCATGAATGCTGTATAGATAGACCTCAACTTACGACCATTCTCTTAATAACCATTTGAGGTTACAACAAATCCCTTAAAAAGGTACTTACGACCTGGATTTGAAGTTCTGACAGCCACTCCCCATGGTCACATGATCACATTTTGGGTGCTCAGCAACTGGCCCAAATTTGCAGCCATTTGCAGCATCCTGCAGTCATGTGACCACGATTTACAATGGGTGCTTACTTCCAGTCTCAAGCAAAAAAACCCTCACTGCAGAAAATGGGTTTGTTTACTGACTACATCATTCTATTAATGACCACTGATTTGCTTGACTAGCATGGTGAGCTGCTTAACAACTACCACAAAAAAATGTCATAAAATATGACATTGATGACCTGCTTAACCACCAGCATGACTTATGGCCATAATTGTGGGGTCAATTATAGTTATAAGTCGAGGAAAACCTGTACAAGGCATTAAACAAGGAATACTTGTTTTATCACTTCTACCCAAAGATTTAAGATGACTGCAGCATCCTAGAGACCACATACAAATTAAATTAAATATGGTGAATTCAAAGGAACATATATCTCCTTTCTCATGTCCAATGTATGATTGACAGCTTTGCTATTTAATCATTATTCTTCCCATCATCCAAAGGAATGTGGTTCTACCTTATGAAATATATAGGCTAAAACACACAGGGAGTAGTCCAAATAATCTTTTTATACCAAAGAAGAATCACCTGGAGATGAGAGGTGTAGATGTCAACTAGACCAAGGCCCAGAGCACTTACCGGTTGCAGTCTGGGCCAGCTTCTCCTTAGTTTTGAGGGCATGGGCCCGCTCTTCTTTGAGACGCTCATCGTCTTTAAGGAGGGCCACCAGCTGCTTGGCCTTCTCCCGCACGTTGACCCCTTGATCTTTGCCATCCCGGTCAACGTACTGAAAATCCTTTAGTGTCTGGATGGCATATATGTTCTCCTTACACTGCTGTGCAACCCTCTCTGAACCTGTCTTGATTAGGTATTCCATAAGTGTCATAGCCTGGAAGAGATGCAAGAAGCAAAGAACTCATGACATTCTCATGAAGATAAAGGTGAAAATCAGAAAATCAGAATCTGAGAAATGTTGGTCCTGGGAAGCAGAATTATGGGAATGCTAAGGATCAAGTCAAGTAAATAAGTTTTCATGTAGGAGACATGGTAATAGGTGGAATTCACTATCCAAATGTCTTGGATAGCTTTATATTTTTAGAGCAGAGGCCCAGGTTGAACTGGATGCAAATTTGCAGGTTCTGTCAAAGAAAAGGGGCAGTTTTTATATGAAAAAATTGCCAGTATTTATATGAATTGATGATTCAATGGTAAAAATGCAGAGCCAGGCAGGCCAAGGATGAATCTCATTAGTAACCTTGGGCTGGTTGCTTTTTCTTTTTCAGCTACTCCTACTCCACAGGTAACTAGGTGATAAAAACCAGTGATCCACATTACAAGGCCATCATACTGACATCATCGTTTGTGGAAAAAATAATTTTAAAGAACCAAAGCAACATATGGTAAGGATTGTCATGATAAAAGGGCAGACTGAGATGAGCACAGACCCTGCATGCTTTCTGTGTTTCTGGAAGGTACCTGCACTGCATTTTAGAGAACATAGACTTACACAGGAATAATAAACAAATGATTCATCCAGATGGGAACCAGATCTAACAAATATCAGAAAGCTAATTGCAACGCCTTGACTTGCTGTCAATAACCACCGATTCCTCTATAATATATCTTGCAAACAGCAAGGTCTCCTACAACTGAAGCAGGAGGAGGAAAAAAAGGAGGGGAAATATGAAGAAACACATCTGGGCAAGTTGTATGCCTCCAAATGTTGCTGGTCTACTTCTCCCACTATTCTACCCATGATGGCTAATGTTTCAGAAAATTGTAACTCAAATCACCAACTTCCCCATTCTTTGTGCAAAATGGCATTCTTCAATACTACGTTTCCCATCATGGTCGGTGCTATTTAGAATCCATCCACATCTAGGGGTTAATGGTTGCCTACCCCATCTAATGAAAATTGTTGTATGCTCCACTTAACGTAGGACATTCAACTTCGACTGAAAATAGCTCACAAAGCTTTACTCGGGCTATATTTTTTACTTGGCCTTGCTAAGCAAATGCGCTGCATATATTCAAAGGAGATACGTAAAGGAATAGAGGTTACTGGCCCATCTAATTCAATAGTCCACATCAGGGGTGTCAAACTGGCGGCTCACGGGCCAGATGCATCACATGCAGGCCACGCCCACCCCGGCCACACTCCACAAAGGCAAAAAATGTCGCAATATGCGTCATGTGACACGATCAAGTTTAACACCCCTGGTCTATATCAAAAGCGTTGCAGGCAAGCCCTGAGAAACTTGTCTTGCAATCTTGAAGACCCTTCTGAACATGAGGCTGAAAAACATCAGCGTAATTTTGTGCTCGACTGAACACTGATTTTGGAAGCTTTAATTAAAAATCAAAAAACCACCCCCGTAAAACTCTCTCCAAATTCAGTCCTGTACAGGTAGTTTGCAATCGGTCGCCTAGCAACCATTCAATGTTATGAGAGATTTCCCCCCCCCCCCCCCCCCAAAAAGATACTTATGACCCAGGTGGTAAGTTCCAATGGAGAAGTGGCCCTCCCAGTTCCATGACTGCATTTAGGCATTTGGCAACCAGCCCACACTTAGCGACTTGCAAAGTTCCGTGATCACATCTGGTTTCTGGCAAAAATGGCCGCTTGAACAACAAGGTCGCTTAATGACCGGCACAAAAAAAGTTGTAAAATCAGGTGTGGTCACATGATGACCCACTTAAATGACAGGCATGAGTTGCAACCATAATATCCAGGCTTAATTGAGATCATAAGTTGAGGACTACCTGCACGATGGAATCCCATCACTCCGTTTTAAAGCTTGACTGCCTTGAGCTCCTGGGCTACCAAAAGGTGTCCAGCCGTAGTTTAGAAGCTTTCTAGGTTTCAGATCTTTCCAGCTTTTCCTGAATATGTAATGGCCTGAATTTGAATATCAGGATAAGAAGTTGGTTCTCTACCGCTGATCAAGAGCCCCTCCATTTGCATGCTTGAGAATTAATCTGTATTTGAGAATGAATTAACGTATGTGGACTTTTTGGATAAAGCATGCAGATTGCAACGCACACATCCATTCTTAATACTGTGTGGTGTGTCCCCAAAGAAGCATGCCTTCTGTAATAAAATGCACATCATAATACATATTAACTTTTCCACTTTCTTAACAAGGTATCTGTGGAACAGTGTGGGAATGGAATAAAACAGACTTAACAGTGAATAGCTGTGAAAAATCAAAACAGGATGATTATGGCACCGTTACCAGAGACGTATATATTTGCAAGAACAAGAGACAGTGCCTGTTTACCTTGTAGACATGACGCCAATTTTTCCCATGATCGTTGAGACGCTTCCAGATCATGCTCATGATTTCTGAGAAGGCTACCACATTGTAGGTGAGATCGGCAATTTCAGACATGAGAGAACTAGATGGGCCCCAAGGGTCATTTGATGTAGCCTCACGAACCTTGATTTCGGCTTCAGAGTAATTATGTACAATATTCTTCATCTGGCGGCGCAGCGAAGACGTCGACATGGTGGTGATGGTGGGGTGGGGGATAGGAGAGACCCAATTTGTATTGTACTCTAAGCTTCCTGTGGATGGCTTTGAAATAAGCCAGACTAATGGTAGCCAAAAGGGCTCCCCGGATTAAAGCAAATCAAGTTTTTTAATCAAATGCTTAAGACAGTGAATCCTGCATATCCAGTCTGAATGGAATCTAGTTTGCTTCGCAAGAGGCAGGCCACGACTTCTGCTCCTGTGCCACTTGCCTGAAGTCCCTAGCTGGTCATGCACTCTCTGAGCATCCATCTGGGCGTCGCAGCCATTCCGAGACACAGCTGAAAAAGAAAGAGAGAAAAACTTTTAACATTGATTTATTTAAATTGCTATCCCACTTTTATTACTTTATAAGTAACTCAAGGCAGCGAACATGCATAATATTCCTCCCCTCCCCTTTCGCCCCCTTTCACAACAATTCTGTGAAGTGGGCTGGACTGAGAGTGAGTGGCTATGCTGCCCCCACTCACCCACCCGCCAAGGTTGGTGTAGAGAGCTTTATTCGGCCTGTTCCCCCATCAGTTCTATTTCAGGTTTTCAGGTAACCCCCAGCTGCAAGCTTAGCACAGTAATTGGCTCGTGACCAAGTAGATAACCAAAAGTAAAACAAACTTGCAGTCAAAATTAAAACAGCCTTGGAAATAAAGGTTTTGCCTGGGTAGGTACCAAAAATAAACGGCCGAAATCTCCTCTGGGGCCTCCACTGAGGTTTGTAAACAAGTCTGGTGGTCCGGTTTCAGAGCTTGCAAGGAGAAGTCAAAGGAACTCCCAAGCTAAGAGTTCAAGGGGTCATTTTTAGCAAAGCTAGCCATGAACAAGCTCCAGACTAACCTTCCAGGCAATGGCTAATTAGTCCACCCGACTGATAACCGGCTGCTCCAAACATAAACACTCTCCACAACTGAATTAACTCCAGTGCGGAATCCCAGAAACGAACTACCATCTGGCCACGACTCATACACATTGCTTCCAGCAACACCTCCCTCCATTTGCCGTGTTAAATAGCCCCTCCCAGTGCAGCGCATTAAGAAGGGTGGGGCCTTTTCTTCATCAATCTGGCAGATCTCCGCCTCTGCCCTGCACACTCTAGCCTCCACAAGGCCGGTAGCTCCTCCCCCTCTTCCTCATTGGCCTGCAAGCTCTCCCCAGACAAGGCATGTACTGCCGGCAGTCCAGGGTCAGCACTACCAGATGTGCCAGGAATGCTCTCATACTCCCTCAAGGCCTCTGAGGAAGACATGGAGGAGCTGTCGTCCACAGGAGACATCACAGTGGACTGAAGTCGGGTTTAGTGTCCAAGGTGAAACCTCAACTCAGAGTCTCCTGGTTTTCAGGCAAGCCCCTTCACCACAACACCAAGCCTGGAATGAAGGATATCGACCCTAATCCTATGCATGATTTGCATGAATCCAAAAATAAGGTCCCAGAACATTATCCAAATTTTGGATTAAAGGCCCTTACTTTAGGACTTTCTTTAAGAACTTGGTCAAACCAAAAGTTCCCTCCCAAGCTAGCTTTAAGTCCTCAAGAGAAGGGCATCAAGAGAAGTGCAAAAAATCAGGCCTGCTTCAAAGATTAACTTGTGGTATTGATAACCAAGAGAAAGAAAAGGACAAAAAAATTCTACACAGCTCTTTATCAGAGAAACTTTAAAAGCAAGTAAAATTAAAAGCTCAGTATGGCACTTTAGATGCTGCATTCTTCATTTCTGTTGTTTAGCCACTTTAAAAGCAGATTGGATCAAGGCTTGTAAATCTGAAAGACTCAACATTTTCTTGGGCTTACGGGTAACAGCTTCAAGACAAAAGTTGCAGCTGAACAACAGAAGAAGATTTTCTTATTCTGGATCAGAACAAAAATCGATCTGTTGCATTTTAGCAGTGGCAACTGGAAAAGAAGATATTATGAGACATGAGCAAGGACACAGCCCACCCTAACAAATACATTCTACGTACTGCAGGAATGTCCAACCTTAGCAACTTTAAAGATTTATGGACTTCAATTCCCAGAATTCCCCAGCCAGCCATGTTGCATTTGCTTTCTCAAAGAAAACTACCTAGTCCTACATCTCCCAGACGATGTAAGATTTGGAAACATGGAGGGGTGGGGACAGAGGAACAATACAATCAAGCTACCCATTTCTTCCTCCATTTACTTTTTACACAATGCAGCATCGCCTTTTTTTCCAGCCAGGTTTCTTTGGTCAAAACACTAGCAGACATCTGTTAAGGTTGCAATTTTGGCAGCATTTACTTGCATCAGCCTGCAAGATCAGGATCCAAAACCTCATATGTGATTTATTTTACAGTTGCTTTTCCTCCAAAAAAGGCTCACGGAGGCACAGAATCTACCTTACTTATAACTTTGTAATGACCTTGTGAAATAGGCTTCAAAACATGTTACAAAAGGCTTAAATTATTGTACACGTGGCCCTCGAATTATGACCACAACTGAGCTCAAAATGTATGTTACTGACACGTTTGTTAAGTGAATTTTATGATCTTTCCTGCCAATGTTGTTAAGTGAATCACTGCAATTAGTGAATCTGCCTTCCCCATTGACTTTGCTTGCCAGAAGTTTGCAAAAAGGGGGTCCCATGACCCAGGGACACTGCAACGGTCATAAACATGAGTCAGTTGCCAAGAGTCTGAATTTTGATCACATGACCACGGGGATGTTACATAGGTTGTAACTGTGAAAAACGGTCATAAATCACTTTTTTCAGTGCCGTTGTAACTTTGGACGGTCACTAAATGAACTGTTGTAAGCCGAGGAATACCTGTATTAAAGTCGGCAGCTGAACAAGGAACTGAACTGGAATCTTCACAACTGACATTTATGAAGCCCCAAGAAAAAAAGGCTTGGAGAGAAAAAAAAAAAATAGAGGGAATAAGACAAAAATGGGGAAACAAGTTTTAAGTCTTCATACCAGAATAAAATGCTTCAACCCACAACGAAAGAACATTTACCCAAACACACAGAATTTCCGATATTATTTACTAATTTCACTTCTTACCCCCTGCCCCAAACCCCATATAGAAGAAGACAGGAAGATCTCCCCCCCCCCACCTCCCCTAGCCAAGTAACTTTAGCGATTTCAGTGAATCTGAATTTGTCAGAATTGCTTCTGGGACAATTCAGGCCGGAAGCGAAAATTCCCAAGAGTGTATGGGTGGGTGGAATAGAAGGGAGGTAAGAGCAACGGAAAACGGAAATTGTGCAGATGGCAACATCTGACCCCAAATTCTCTTTAACTTCCTGAAAGCCCCTGCCCTACTTAAGCCTTGATATTCTTAAACCTCAATAAGGAAGGAAGCCCACATTTCTAAGGAATGAGTCACAGTGGCTCATTCTTCCTCTTTTCTGCCCCTTTTCATTTTGTTCAACTCAAGTTTCCAGCTCTAAAATTTCAAGTCACCAACCAATAAGCTGAAGACGATTCAAGAGAAGCCAAAGTGACCAAAGGCCCTAATGTGCAACAAGCACACTGAGCTCAAATAAATGGGAGCGTTGATTTCAGGCACACTTTTCTAAATTTCTGTGTTTGAACTGTTCTAATTTCATACAGTTAAGACGGTATAAATAGATGGTAAGGCCATTTTAAGAATATTATTCTCCATCCTGCTTGGGAATACAGAGCTACTTAAAGCACATTGAGACATTATTGTTATTTTTTTTTTAAAGAAACAAAACCTAAAACAAGTTCAACGTCCATCAGTTTTGGAAAACAGCAAAACTGAACAGCTTCTTCACCAGCCTAGAAATCTCTAGGCTTCTCCCAAAATTCCCAGTTAAGCATTTTCTTTTGGAAATTGTAGTCCCAAATTTGATAATTCAGAACAGCTGATAACAGGAAGCATTAACTTTGTCCGAAGACTCATAGCTCAATTTCCTTCACTTCTCAAACATCGCAAGGAACATTAGAGAGACAATGTGAAATGGCAAATATAATACAATGATTTTTCTTATTTTTATTACATTTATAAGTCTTTTCTAACCTCTATGTGGGGGTGATAGTTTCTATCATCTCTCTCTTTATTCTACATACAGGCTGGAGTTAAGGGAACTGTACTTCAAATATTCTGGACAGCACTCAGTTTTACAGAATATAGAGTAACAGAGATGGAATGGGTTCCTGGAGATCTTCTAATACAATCCCTGCTCAAGCAGGAGGCCCTATACCATTCCAGACAAACTGCTGTCCAGTCTCTTCTTAAAAACCTTCAGTGATGAAGCACCCACTATTTTCTGGCTGAAAGCCATTTTCCTGATTAATTGATCTTAGTTTCAGGACATTTCTCCTTGGTTCTAGATTGGATCTCTCCTTGATAAGTTTCCATACATTTACTCCTTTGGGTACTTTGGAGAATACATGACAAAACACTTCAGCAACACACAAAAATTCATTTAATATTTAATTTTTTACTATTTTGTTATTCTTTATTTACAGTAATTTTCAGGGCCATAGCATGGTGGACTGCTTACAGAAAAATTATTCCTATGAAGATTCACACTGAATCCAGATAAATTAAATTATCTTGAAAAGCAGAGGTAAATTATCTCTATCATCAGAATGTTCAAAGTGATTCAAGTCCAGCTACAGAATCATTTCTCTGCGTGGCTCAGAAATGTCCCCTTTGACATAGGCTGCAATAAAAGTGACCGTTTTTGCTACAACTACTGGGATTAACGGGTATCTACGACACTGAGTTCTACTGGCTGGTGAAGAAATTTCCATGTTGTGATTCAGTACCGTCTATTTTGAGAAGAAAGCTACAGCTGCAAAGAAAAATAGGCGAAAGGTTTCCAATTCACTCAAAATATTTTTAATCTCTTCTTGAAATTCTCTACATGTTTTTGCAGCATGCAAGAAGACTGAATGCTTGCATGAAGCAAAGATTCTAATACATTATAATTCACCCCTTTTAATTTTCTATTTAAAAATCTGGTCTATATGGCGTTTAAAATTAATTACATGAAGATTTTTTTCCCATGTTGGTAGCATCAAAGGATTTGCCAGTAACATCACCATTGCCCGGGGGATGCCTGGTTGGGAGCTCCTTTCATATCCTTGTGAAGTTGCCCACAAAAGGGGTAATGAAGCAGCCTGGTGGCTCACAGGCTTAGAACTGATGACCAGCAGGCTCACATTCGAGACCCGTTGCTGCTGCTGGGGTGAGGTGAGCACCCCGTCATAGGCTCCAGCTCCTGCTGACCCAGCAGTTTGAAAGCAGGCAGCTGCAAGTAGATTAATGGGTAATGGGAACACATCAAGATAAGTAACTTTTCTTGATGAAATGAGGCAAATTAGTAATGATTTGGGGGTGAAATAGTCATGTTTCAGCAAAAACAGTTCCACAAATAAATAAAAAAGCTTTTTTTCTGGCCACTGCAGAAATTATAATCCAAACCCCAATTTGTTTCAACTAAAAAAAACAAAATCACCATCAATTGATGCAGCAATTATTCCAGCCATTATATACACTTGTTGGTGCTACCGCTAATTTATTTTGCTTTCTGTCTGAGACCATGGACAGTCTTTGACCAGTCATGATAGACAATAATCAGATGTAATCAGATCAAGGGTCTAACTTGCTATAAGGTAGCCACAAAATGAAAACACATGCGAACATAGACCTCTGACAGGATGTCAGCCTCCTGCAGTTTCCTAAGCAAACATTTTAAGAAAAAAAAAATCAAATTTGTAGACAATTTCAATTAACAGCTGTTTTTGTGGGTTGGCATTTTAAAAAAAACCATCAGTCAGCCCACTTCCCCTTCAAACACCACAATTGCCATCTATAGGTTTGCTTTTCCTTCTCTTGCTTGCCTTGCCAAATGACAGAGGCTGTAACTCATCCTGCAACATTTTTTGATGATTCGGTAGCTTTGGGCAAATTTTAAAACTGCTTCAGCAGCTAATCTTAGCTGAAAATTGGGATTATATCTAGAATCAATAAATGTTAAGGATATAAGACTTGTATTACCATCTCCTCAGAATACTCTTCTGATGAATGGAGCCCCATGTATTTTGTCAGGTTGAAATTGCTTTATGCTGGATAAAATAGTCCTTGGTAGGGTTAGGGTAAAAAGTACCGCAGCATGAAAACTAGCATTGTTTTTGTTACTTATAAATTAAAATTTTCTTTTGGAGAAATTTGCTTTTCTTGCCCAACGGACTATATCCTGCAGGAGATATACCACTCTATAACAGGAATAATTGGCACTGGAAACAGAATCTAATATTCTCATCATCTTAATTTCATTTATCTAAACTGATTCTTATAGTAGAAAAGAGATACCACAATGTGTAATATACAATATTTCTGAAGTTGTGTGTCTTCATCTGGATCTCTAGCACCCTATTGTTTTCAACCTATTCTAACAAAAGCAGGTTTGAAAGAGAATTATATGAATCTAGCATAAAGATCAAATGACATAATTTGTCCATGAAACTTAGATGGTAAAGCCAAGTGCAACTACAAACTTGATGGGCAGTTTTCAATAAATCAATTATCCACTCATATCTGGTTCAACATGGCTAAGGAACTTTGATTTTCATTCCTCTGATGAAAGTTGGGATACAAACATGCATGTTTTCTAAACATTTTTCAGGAAAGAATTTTGCAAATAATTTATGCATAATTATTTGCGCAATAAACACACTCATTATAGCATTTAATATGCATAAGATGTGTTTTCGGGAAAATTTTCCTATGCAAATGAGTACGAGTTCCATAAGAATTTGTATCTCAACATTCTTAATTGTTTTTGTTACTATAAATCATATACTATATTTGATGTGAGGGAAAGGGAGCCATGAAATTCCCACTTCTCAATTTTTTAAAAACAATCACCTTAGAATATATACAACTCTGAATTCATAAAACTGCCTGAAGAGAAACCTTTTCATGGAAAAAAATTACCCTAGAAAATGTTTTGGTACACATTTCTGGATACAAATATTGACAACAAAAGAAAAATATTCTTTTGATGTCTTGATGATAAACAGTTGATGATGGAACCAATTACTTAGAAAGTAACAAAATCATGGAAGGGTTGTTATTTCTTACAACAGTTTAAAGACTGGAACGTTTTCCCTGTGTTTAAAAAAAAAGGGGGGGGGGGAGGGGGTAAAGCAAACCACTCCATTAATCCAGAAAACAAAAGCAACCAAAAAAGGAAGCATGTTCTTTAAAATGCTTAAGATGCATTTTTTAAATGCAAAACTTTTTGTCTATAGTATGGAGAAGGAAATCTTTACCTACCTCCCGTACTGGAGAAAATGTAAATGCAGTTAACGGTGCAAGCGTTCCAACTTATTAAGTGCTCAGAAACAAAGTTCATCCAAGTAAGAATTTATTAGAGACGTCATATTGGCACATCTGGGGAAACCCAAATTTGAGAGTTCCGGGCTTTCCCTCCCCAAAAGAAAATCAAAGATCCATCCCCTACACCCACCGTTCATCACATGGCCCAGTCAACCATCATCCTAACTGGAGCCATTCCTCTAAGCACTCCCCTCCGGGTGCAGGGTGACATGTCCTTGACTTCCTGTGAAAGAATTTTGTTTAGTCTCATCTTCCACCGCTCTATGAAATCCCCCCTCCCAAATTCCCAGGCACTAATAGTGGCAGTCTTGGAGCTTCTGAGTAAAATATGGCCTCCAAGGCTGACAAACGGGGAATCAGATGCAGAACAGAATGATTTGTAATATGAACGAAATTTGCTCTCTTGCTTGCTTAATGTCAAAAGGGAGTTAGACAAAGATCCAGATGCAATAGCTATAACTCATGACAGCTACACGAAACAGCCATGTTCACAGGTAAACTGTTGGGAAAGACAATATGAATTGGGCACTAGGGGAGCTGTAAGTCTACCATATTTTGAAGCACCAGAGTATTTGCTGATTTCTTTTCACATCTCATATATAGTGGCTCACTCTTCTGCCTTGATGGAATAATTTATCCTGGAAATCGCTGACCATCCAAAAAATGCAGAAAAGGTGTGCCATTTTTTCCTAGAAATCTCAAGGAATTCCAAAATAAGGCAATGAAAATTTATTACTGGAAAGAACAATTACTGTTAATAGCATATATTTAATTTTTGTTGGGGGGTTGGAGAAAAGAAGAATGAGAGAGCTAGTAAATATTCACTAAGTTACAAAATCCAGGCAGTTCAACCATTTGAATTTTAAAGAATCCACAAGTTTTGATGATCTCCCAAAACCATTTTTCCCAGCTGGGGATCCTTCAGATGCTAAAAAGATTCCATCTCTTACTTTCCTTAAGAGTGTTGGAAGATATTCTATTGAGAAAAATTAGTCAAAAAGTAGTATGAACTTGTGCAATATGTTTGGTACAATACTATTCTGTGAAAATATTGCTAATGTAGGCTTAATTTATTGCTTTCCAAATTCATTAATTATAATACTCCTAAAAATGAAATATTTTAAAACTTTTCCTTAAAACAATTTAAAAAACCTTTCAAAGTTCAGCCTGCCCCAACCCCTCAACTCTTCTTTATCATTATCCATCAGCTAGTCATGATTATATAGCAAATTAGTTTTACGTGACTCAGTGAAGGTTGAGCACATATGGAACACAACTAAGTCCACAAAAACAAAGCAGATTAACAATGCAGTCTGGATGTACAATTACATTTCTAAGTCAGTATTGCAGAAGTGATTCCCAGCTGTCATACTAGAAATGATTGAGGATTCTAAAACATTTCTAATTTGAAGATTTAATGAAAATAATTTCTGGTGTTCTTCTAGCAGTTCTTTTTAACATTTTTCACTGTTCATTACCTAAATGTCACAGCTGTTGCGTCATTCCATTATGTCCCAAATTTGCTTGAAACAAAGCTAAGCCATATACTCTAAGCAAGGGGTCTCCAACCTTGGCAACTTTAAGACTTGTGGACTTCAACTCCCAGCTTTGCTGGCTGAGGAATTCTGGGAGTTGAAGTCCACAAGTCTTAAAGTTGCCAAGGTTGGAGACCCCTGCTCTAATCTACCTACAGACCACAAGACCCTGAAGGTCACTGACAAAACTGACTCTAGGTAAGATAGCCAGATGAGAGAATGTATAAATAATCTCTCAAATAACCTGAACACAAGGAGAAAGCAAGCTGACTCCAATTTCCTCTATTTTTTAAAAAAAGAAATTGCAAGAAGGAATTTGGGAAGCAAAGACATTTTAGGCTGGTACTGGACAGGTAGTCCTTGAGTTATAACCACAATTGAGCCCAAAATTTATGTTGCTAAGTGAAACATTTGTTAAGTGAGTTTTGCCCCATGTTACAACCTCTCTTGCCACAGTTTTAAGTGAATCAAGTGTTAAGTTAGTAACATGTTTGTTAAGAGAATCTGGTTTTCCCATTGACTTTGCTGGTCAAAAGGACGCAAAAGGGGATTACATGATCCAGGGACACTGCAATGATCATACATATGAGTCAGTTGTCAAGCACCTGAATGTAAATCACATGATCATGGGGATGCTGCAAGTAATGTGTGTGAAAATGGTCATAAGTCACTTTATTCGGTGCCATTGTAACTTTCAATGGTCACTAAATGAACAGTTGTAAGTCAAGGACTAACCATACTTCTCTTTTACCTACTGTATTTCCAAATCAGGCCAGGCTAAAAGTAAAGGAGGCAAAGGAGGAATAACTATCATATATACTGTAGCTGGAAGATATTTTGGACAGATGAATAAAAATGTGGAAACCTGAGATAAAACTCAGGTTCAAATTTTCACTTAGCCATAAAGATTGTGTATTATTTTAAACTTCCTATCTTCATCAAAATTACAAGGTTGTTATGAAAACATGGGAGAGTGAGAGAACATGTATTTCACTTTGTGGTTCTGAAGGAAAAATAGCAAATTCAGTAATAAGTTACTTAACTTCTTAAATTAAATTGAACTAATAATGCATCTGTCCAACAGTGGACTCTTCAATGTAGCTCTGGAGAACTGATATGAAAGCAATACAGAAGTCTGGGGTTTTTGAAGAGCATCTGTTTTATCAATGATATACTATCTCTGAATACAGACATTCAACTAAGAACTGTATTGATTAATAACCCCTGACTGGCTGTTCTAATCTATAATCAAAGCTATCAAAAGGTAGCAGTTATTACCAAAACACATTGTAATAATGGATTTATAGCATGAAGCAGCATTTCTTTCCACCTCGGAATAGTCTATCAATCAATTTCATTTTATTCTCTATTTCTATTACACATTCTAATGTGCTCTCTTCTCATAAATCATCTTTATTTAAAACTTAACCTGCCCTATTCAAATTTGCTGGAGGTTAATTGATATAAATCCTTTCATTTCAATCAATTATTATTCCCCATTATTTGGCACTAATATAACTTGTCTCACGTACCAAATATTGGCCTAAATTCATCCTTATTGCAGCGTGTTCCTTCTCCTGCTGGATACGTACCTGTCTTTCTTTGTGAGTTAATTTCTGAGACGAGACTCGGCTCTTAAAACTGAAAGAAGAACCTCCAGCCAACAGGAAATGGGAGTCGAGACACACTGTCCACACGTTATATAAAGCCAATTCCTTTCCCCAGCCTCCACCCTTCGCTCCCGTTCATACCTTGACCTGCCAATGGCAGTTTACTTACCTGGACAGTGTCAGGGAAATGTCGATCTTCCAGGCCGCAGAAAGGTTGGGGGCTCACACCAACAGATCTGTGAACAACCACGCCGACACTGGAGCCCCCCTCCCTCCCCCAGAGCCCCTAGGAAGCGTTTCAGCCTCCCCAATTCCTCCAGCCAGGAGGCATAGCCGGTGCCCCCCTTTAAAAAAACGGGGGGGGGGGGTCCTGGTAGGCCAGGAGAGTAAGAAAGCTTCGTTTTCAAACAGCTCCC